CGGTTAGGATGAACATCTATTCTATGTCTATTGCCATCCCGTTACGACATCTAACAGCAACAGTTTTACACAATAATACTCAAAATTTTTTAATATGATTTATTGACAGAGTTTTCCTGCATAGGAAGCTCCATCATCTCTCCTAAAAAACACAAATACATAAATAAACAAGAGTTAAGTTCAAACCAAAAAGAAGTATTCATAATCTAAACAGCTCTCTAAAATTCATTACAAAATAAATTAAAAATTACATTTCCTCATTTCCCCCTTCCCACCTTCAAATATTCCCCATACATCTGACTAGACGAATTAAACTTCAACAACTAACAAGCAAAATGAAATTTTATTAAATACGATACTATCTACTATTTCAACATACTAGGTAAGAACACCAAGGCAACTAGCACACGGGAGAAGTGTGTTTGTGTCTCGTGGGACGAGAAGGGGAAGTGGGAACAAAGGGAATATTTTGAATTAACAGTCTAAGTTTATTGCCGCTGTTGCTGGCGATGCTGCCGTTGTTGTAGCTCCTGGTAGTACACCCATCATCAAACCAACTAAGGCACAAGGCATACATTATAAAAGCGGACAAAACAAGGACTCCTCACTGACCGATAGGGCACGAGCAGATTTTTTCTGGAGAAAAACCACAACGGCGACAGCGAGAAAAACAACAACAACGACAAAAAGAATTCTAATGGAATTGCAGCAACTAAAATGTTTCAAAAATTTTTTCAAATAATTTTTTGCCAACTAATGCAAAACAGGAAGCTAAACACCGACAACAGCACACTTGCAAATGTTGAATATCAGTAAGGACGATCACAAGAAAACGGAGTGTCGACATCAAAATGAGTGCAGGAAGATGTGGAGAAAAGGAAGAAAAATACTGGAAAGAAAAAAAAAAAGGAAAAGCAGAAATCTAAATCACCTTCTTTACATTCGTCTCTTTATTCCCCTCATTTTCCTCCTTCCTTCTACAGCTTTCCGATTAATTTTCTTTCAGCTATAACTCAACAATATTTATTTATCATATTGGAAAAATAAATAAAATAAATATACGTGATAATGTCTGAATTAAAAAAAAAACAAATTGAACGAAATGTGAGCGAAAAGTTATCTCCGACTTCTTCCTCTCCAGTAATTTATAAACATTAGAAGCCCATGAAAATGATGAGGAAAAAAATCTTGTAACCACTAAGGAAAATATTATATATGTTATATAATATGTTGTATGTATATAATATGTATTTAATATATGTACTACAAATTATATATATAAAAAGAAATTTTTTTATTTTCATTTCTTTTTTTTTTTTTTCTTGTCGTTTTTTCATCTGCTTACTTATTTTTTTTCGCTTACATATATACATACAATATATATATATATATATATATATATATATATATATAGGTTATTTATGTTTATTTATTTATTTATTTACACTTGTTTTTATATTTATATTTTTTTGATATTTATTCATTTATTTATTTATTTATTATATACATACAATATTATATATAAATATATATATAAGCGAAAAAAAATAAAAAATAAGCAGATAAAAAAACGATTAGAAAAAAAAGAAATAAAAATAAAAAAATTTCTTTCCATTTTTTCATGGTAGCAGAAAAGCCGATCGTTGAACAGACAGATAGTTTCACAGTTATAAAGCATTTAAAGAAGCAAACGTGTAAACATGTAAACAAAGAAATAAACAAACAAACAAATGAATAAATAAATAAACAGATAACAAAAAACTGTGTCTAAAGACGTCACACAGAATTTGAACAAACTGCTAGTGTTTTTCATCATTTTTTCTTAAGAAGAACAAGTTTCTTCTTCCGGCTCCACGGTTAATTTTGAAACTGTTTTGCTTAAATTCAACAGAAAATTTCGTGTTTTTCTTCTCCCGTCATTCCTACGCTCCTAGCCCTCCCATGCTGCTTTCCCATCACTTCGCCTTCGACCTTTCGCTAACTATAATCGACATAGTCATAGTCTTAGTCATCCCCAGCATCACGATCAAACGATCATCTTCCAAGATATTATTCTTCCGATCATATAAGTATTGATCTGCTACCACCAATTACAGCTGTTAACCAAATCCTTCCATTTGCACAACAAAAACCCAGCTGAACAGTACAACATATCCATTGTCTTCCTAATAACTTTTGCTGTTCGTTCGACATATGATGACCGACTAACAGCGTTCAACACGACAACAATTTTTTCTCTATTTTTATCTCTTATTTTTTACCAAACGAGTATTTGATGCAATAAACGAGAAAAAATAGAGAAAGTTTTCTTTTTGAAATATCAAAAAAAAAAAAAA